ATTCTCATTTGATACCAGATTCAGTGTGAAATGGTTACAGTCCTGAAGTGACAAAAAATGTCTATCTAGAGTGATGTAAAAGTCATTCTGATATGTCTGTTCACACTGAGATCACATTACAAAGAATCAGACCTGAATCTGATCGTGACCACATATTAAAGTGGCACAAATCAGAATAAAAAACAGACAGATTCCATGTGATTTGGACTCTGTCATGAAACCTCAGATCTGAGTCACATGAGCAAATAAATCAGATTTGGCTCACTTTGGCCTACAGTCTGAACGTGGACTAACAGACTTTGCACAGGGAACACCCTGTCATTTAGACTTGAGCACCTCATTCCTGTCTGTGAATTATCACCACAGGTAATATCAAGTTTGTGTTAAGCAACAGCAAATTGAACAACAAAGAGGTCTCAACAGCTTCTGTGAGTGACACAGACGGAGCTTATTAGTCTCTCAGGTTCAACAAATAATGTAATGTAGTCTGTACATTGTACTGTACTCAGTGCCGAAGGTCATGTGGATGAAAGGTATGAAAGAGGTACCGTACTGAGGAGTGCAGCAGGAAAAAGGTACATCTCTATACTAAGCATGGCAGGAATCTGATGTAAATCAGTATGTACCAATATTTGGATGATCCCAAACAATACGCTACAGTACCTTTAGGCCCTGCCAGGGGAGGCTACCTCTGAGGAAGTACATAAACATGTGACCCAGCGCCTCCAAATCATCCCTTCTGCTTTGCTCTGGAATAGACAGAATAAGATGAAATTAGGTTAACAAGGGAAACAAATTCATCTTATAAGCAGGTGCCAAGGTTGACCAGCAACTGGGTAATAGGAAATACAGCACAGCACAATTATCCAGGAGTTATAATTAACCATGTACAGTATAAAAAGAACATGATTAAGCCACAGAGCAGGGGGGCAATCCTGTGCCATGGAGAGGTGGCAGTCTGCAGGTTTTTATTCCAGCCAAACACTCCACCCACTGATTAGCACGACAAGTAGGGGGGAAGAACTAATCAGTGAAATCCCCTCCTGAGGTGACTGGTTGGACTGAAAACATGCAGAGTGTTGAGTCTGCATGGCACATGGTTGGCCACCCCTCACATAGAGGAAAAACAACAGAATAAAGAGGAGATGCTTCAAAATACTCAGAGACATGCAGCTATATGTAAGAGTAGTAATTTATGAAAGACAGAAAAATGTACACAGAAGCCGGAAGTCACACAGCTGACCTCAAGAAACACCATAGCTACGGTTTCCAATGGTTAAATGTAAATGTAAAATCAACGGTATTTGTTTATAATGCTGTGTACATGTAGCTGATGTATTTGTACAAATACAGTTACAACATCTCCATTAAAGCTTGCCTATGCTAATTCAAAGGGAAGATCAAACCACAGCCGTGTCCCTAAGACTTCCTTACCCTTTCCCAAGTGTGTGTTAATGCTCATGTAGCGTGCCGTCCCAGTCAGACTCTTGTGCTCCCGGTAGGGGATGTGTTTTTTGGTCTCGGGGTCTATGTACTCTTTGGCCAGACCAAAGTCAATGATGTGGATGGTATGCTGCCTCTTGCTTCCTGGCCGCCCAACCAGGAAGTTTTCTGGCTTCACATCTCTGTATATCAGACTCTTGGTGTGGACGTACTCCATCCGTGTTATCTACAAGTAAAATAGATCAAGATTAGTATTTCAAATTTTAAATTGCTCATCAATCTGGGCTATTTTCCACATCAAGAAACAAAACTATTCTCATGAAAACAAGTATAAACTATGATTAACATATTCAATTTGGAATACATTCCCTACTTTTAAGACTTTTTCATCGTTATTGATTATTATTTTATGTGATTTGTATGTGGATACTTGTTGTTGTGTTGTTGTTGTTGTTGTGTGTTGCGTTGTTATTATTATATATTTATTATTGGGCATCTTTGCCTTTATTGGACAGTTGGAGCAAGGGGGCGAAGGGCATCCCGGCTGCGAACTGAACCCGGTGACAGCCTGGAGTTACAAGCTTCCTGGAAACTCAAAGTAGTTCACACGAAGGCTTAAGATAATGATTGTTTTTAGGCTGTGGCGGAGCATATAAACATCGTTACTTTTATTCTTTTTCCCTTCACCAAAACCCACAAACCTTTTTTTTCACCTTGCCTTTGCATACAACACCTTACTTATCGTACCTAAATCTACTACAAAGAAATGCATTCAAAGCTGTCTATAATTTCTGTAGAGTTGCAATCACAAAAGCAAGCAATATCTAAATATATGGCCTGCTCCTCCTCTTTCAGGCCTTACCAGCTGGTCATGGCTATCATTCGGAGACGTTTCTTGAGGGAGAAGGTGCCGATCACAGGAGGCCAACACGGGGGGTCCTCTAGACTGGGCCGAGCAGCTCCAGCACCAGTGGCATTGTACTTTCCCAGCAAAATGGACCAAAGTAGTGACACCTGAGGGGATCCCCTTCTGCGCCGCGCGGCGGCCGGGTGAACATCACACACAAATAGAAGTTAGTGGATTTTTGTAAAAACATTGTCCGGCCCTGTTAATGTGAAATGCAACAACAGGTAGTAACATTGGTTGTTATGCTCGACAGAAATAACGATTGTGTGGGAGGAAGATTAATCACTGACACCACACAAGCAGTGACGAACTACACTTTTCAGTTCTCTTCCCTCAACAGGTTTGCTCAGGAAACAGGCTGGCTCGCGAGTTTCGCTTCTCCCCTCCCGAAGCTAGGACTTAAAGGGACGAAGGCGTGTCTAAAAAAACACCAGTGACGCTGAAGCAGGCACAGCTGACGGCCCAACTGCTAAATAGCCTTTCTACAAGAAAACCACCGACACCCATATATCGATGGTAATGTGATGATTCTGAAGAATGTGATGGATCACACCGGGCAGGACTATCTTTATGTCTCTGATCAGCTTGTTGTCTTGAAGGCATGCAAACTGGGCGTGTAAGCGCACTCAAAGCAGTCACAGTTAAAGTATTAAATAAATAAAAAGTAATAAATCTATCTATATCAGGGGCAAATCTTTAATTTCTTAAACAATTTCGGTACCAAAGTTGGTGCTTGAAGAACACAAAAACCAAGCAGTTCCCACAGTGACCTAAAGCTGCTGCCTCCTCACATTTGCTGGGCTACAGACTGAACAAGCTTTGTCACCAACAAAAGTTTAACTGCTGGAGGGGGGCCCGCAGAGCGAAACCAGGCATTCACTATTTCAGTCTACAAAAACGATGCAACAGCTCACTGGAAAGAAAAGATAAGTAGTGTTTGTCGAGCCCTCCTCAGTTAACATTGACAGAGGCATTTTGATGACTGCGACACATTTTTTACATGAGCATCCATTGACTTCTGTTTTGAAGCTCTTCTTTCATGATCAAAAGGCCAGCAGTCTTCAAGGTTCCACCGTCCTTTCTTCTTCCAGGTCTAATGTCCTCGTCAAATGGGTTCCCTGCCAACCTGGTAGCCACGCCAGGAAACTCTAAACCATCTGTACCAAAAGCCCCAATATGTCTACACATCAGGGCATCTCCCTGAACAGCTCACTAACCATGAGATACCACATCAAGTGCTTGCTACAACAGCCAGGCCACACAGCCACGGAGAGGAAAGAGTGACACAGGACAGATAGAAAAGGAGTCAGTGAGATTAAGGATACAGATTAAAAACGGACAGGAGATGGACCCGGAGAACCGGAAAGCAGCATTTGTACGTGTACTTGTTGTAATAGAATTAATGCCAGTGGGTGAGTGGAGATTGAACTGGACAGTCGAGAAAAAATTGGCAGGGCAGCTGGGGTGTGCATTAGAGTAAAAAAGTCTTGATTGTGTGTTGTTGTGTTGTGTGTTTGTGTGCGTGTGTGTGTGTGTGTGTGCGTGTAGGTGTGTGTGTGTGTGGTTTGTGTGTAGTGTGTGTCGTGGGTGTGTGTAGGCAAAGAAGAGAATGATAGAGGTGAAGAGATGAGATAAATGAGAGAATGTGAAATGAATATAGATTATGAGAAGAATAAAATAAAGAACAGTATCAACGCCTTTTACCTGACCACTCCTCAACATCAGCCCAGAGCTTCAAAGCACAGTCATCCGAAGAGGAAAGCACACAGTGTATTATAATCTGCTGCTGGTGGATGTGAGTGAAGATTGGTGCTCAGAGCAGCAGTAAGCACCAATCTAGAAATGGCTGCTGGTAAAAGCCCAGAGCACACTTTTGGGGTGAGACTATGTCAGACAGCAGCACATTTTCTTTGTAACAGCCAAGACTGAGCACTTCAAAAGCAAAAGAATGATGAAGCATGACTGCGAATCATCATCCTGATCCGACGACACTTTTGTTCTCTTTAAAAGCTGAAGGCCAAACAAACCATTTCAGCTGTTCAGTGACATCAAACTGAATCACTGTTTGTAATTCTAACCATTATGTGAAGTCATATAAAACAAAAATACATCCAACTGTGTTCAGCATTGTGGGATATGCTCTGGCTTTCACTTCAAGCCAATCACAGCGGTGCTCTGACCCCCGCTGTTTTGACAATTTGAAGAGAATCCAACCTATTGTATCTGCAGGCACTCACAGTAATAGGGAAGGCTGCATCATGGCAGCTGAAGACAGTGCTGCCCTAGAATGAAATGTCAGAGTTAAGGACCAAAAAGGGAAGAGAGGAGATGGCCAGAGAGGAGGAGAGGACAGGGAATGCATATTAAAGATTGGGATTATGGAGTGGAGAGCACTGAGTGAGGAAGAGGAAGAGGAGGAGGAGAGGAAGGAGGAGAGGAGGAGGAGGAGGAGGAGTTAGAGGAGCGACGAGGAGGACGAGGAGGAGGAGTGACTTCCATTAGGCCCAGTGCTCTGGAGATGTTCTCACAAGGCTAAAATGTGATCAGCACTTGTGCTTGCACAGACAGAGCCTGGAGCTACAAATGCAACATAGCAACAATCCCACAAGACACCACAGGGCTGAACACTAGTAAGAGGGGGGGATAAAACATCAATACTTGTTTTTATTAAAGTAAATAATTGATTCTACCAGATATTTGCAGCTTTTAACCTCTGCAGCTTCTCAAGAGTTCACTCAGAAGCGGCAGTTGACGTGAAAAACTAGGGCAGTTGTTCCATTTTCTCCAACTCATCACAGCTTTCTCTTCGTGCGCTGCGTGCAAAACTAGTAATAACAGGTAGGCTAAATCAAGTTAGGCCGTTGTAAACTGACAATTTATGAGATAAGATATTCCTTTAATA